CCTGCAAGGGATTATGTATACCCCTGCAAGGGATTATGTATACCCCTGCAAGGGATTATGTATACCCATGCAAGGGATTATGTATACTCGTGCAAGGGATTATGTATACCCCTGCTAGGGGTTATGTATACCCCTGCAAGAGATTATGTATACCCTTGCAAGGGATTATGTATACCCCTGCAAGGGATTATGTATACCCCTGCAAGGGATTATGTATACCCGTGCAAGGGATTATGTATACCACTGCAAGGGATTATGTATACCCCTGCAAGGGATTATGTATACCCCTGCAAGGGATTATGTATACCCGTGCAAGGGATTATGTATACCCCTGCAAGGGATTATGTATACCCCTGCAAGGGATTATGTATACCCGCGCAAGGGATTGTGTATACCCCTGCAAGGGATTATGTATACCCCTGCAAGGGATTATGTATACCCATGCAAGGGATTATGTATACCCCTGCAAGGGATTATGTATACCCCTGCAAGGGATTATGTATACCTCTGCAAGGGATTATGTATACCCGTGCAAGGGATTATGTATACCCCTGCAAGTGATTATGTATACCCCTGCAAGGGATTATGTATACCCCTGCAAGGGATTATGTATACCCCTGCAAGGGATTATGTATACCCGTGCAAGGGATTATGTATACTCGTGCAAGGGATTATGTGTACCCCTGCTAGGGGTTATGTATACCCCTGCAAGGGATTATGTATACCCTTGCAAGGGATTATGTATACCCCTGCAAGGGATTATGTATACCCCTGCAAGGGATTATGTATACGCGTGCAAGGGATTATGTATACCCGTGCAAGGGATTATGTATACCCCTGCAAGGGATTATGTATACCACTGCAAGGGATTATGTATACCCCTGCAAGGGATTATGTATACCCCTGCAAGGGATTATGTATACCACTGCAAGGGATTATGTATACCCCTGCAAGGGATTATGTATACCCCTGCAAGGAATTATGTATACCCGTGCAAGGGATTATGTATACCCCTGCAAGGGATTATGTATACCCCTGCAAGGGATTATGTATACCCGTGCAAGGGATTATGTATACCCCTGCAAGGGATTATGTATACCCCTGCAAGGGATTATGTATACCTATGCAAGGGTTATGTATACCCGTACAAGGGATTATGTATACCCCTGCAAGGGATTATGTATACCCCTGCAAGGGATTATGTATACCCCTGCAAGGGATTATGTATACCTCTGCAAGGGATTATGTATACCCGTGCAAGGGATTATGTATACCCCTGCAAGGGATTATGTATACCCGTGCAAGGGATTATGTATACCCCTGCAAGGGATTATGTATACCTCTGCAAGGGATTATGTATACCCGTGCAAGGGATTATGTATACCCCTGCAAGGGATTATGTATACCCGTGCAAGGGATTATGTATACCCCTGCAAGGGATTATGTATACCCGTGCAAGGGATTATGTATACCCCTGCAAGGGATTATGTATACCCCTGCAAGGGATTATGTATACCCCTGCAAGGGATTATGTATACCCGTGCAAGGGATTATGTATACCCCTGCAAGGGATTATGTATACCCGTGCAAGGGATTATGTATATCCGTGCAAGGGATTATGTATACCCGTGCAAGGGATTATGTATACCCGTGCAAGGGATTATGTATACCCGTGCAAGGGATTATGTATACCCGTGCAAGGGATTATGTATACCCCTCCCTTAAGAAAAAGTGAAACAGCAGTACACAACAGTAGAACATTGGGTCTGAACGTACAACAGACAAGTGTACAATCAACGCTGGAGACAGCAGAGATATGTACAGCTGTGCCGTACGAGGCAGCACATCACTGCTACAGCACATCACTGCTACAGCACATCACTGCTACAGCACATCACTGCTACAGCACATCACTGCTACAGCACATCACTGCTACAGCACATCACTGCTACAGCACATCACTGCTACAGCACATCACTGCTACAGCACATCACTGCTACAGCACATCACTGCTACAGCACATCACTGCTACAGCACATCACTGCTACAGCACATCACTGCTACAGCACATCACTGCTACAGCACATCACTGCTACAGCACATCACTGCTACAGCACATCACTGCTACAGTACATCACTGCTACAGCACATCACTGCTACAGCACATCACTGCTACAGCACATCACTGCTACTAACACAACACAACAAATGGTAAATTCTGCTTCCTTTTTTTCAAGCATTCAGAGTTTGAAATCAAATAAAACTAAGAAAGTTAGTTATATTAGTGTGCTCCTCACAGAAGCGAATCCCATATATGGAACATTTTCAGAAACACGCACAAAGGATGTTTTGGAGGGTGAGATAACGATAAAACATTATAACATTATTAAGATGGGGTCCACCTCTGGTGTAAATTATGGGACCCACAGCCTCGGAGAAGTGGCTAAAAAGACTTCAAGGAAGAATATTTGGATTTCTTCCTGAAGTCATTTGAATATTCTACTTCTCCTGCCACCCTATCTTTCGTTCTTTTTTTCACCAATAGATATATTTTATTAAATAATATGGTACAAAGAATTTAAGAGATACTTTGTTGATATAAGAATGGCATATTCAGTACATGAGATATGAGAGATACTTGTTAGTATATATTGTTACGTGTTTGTCACTGATTATAATGCGAAAATCTCATCCAGCGCCTCAGAGCTGGGGCATGTGCCCAAAATGCAACAGGCATTACCCCTCTGAACAGCAGCGCTGAGTACAGAAAATTAGCTACCCTGTTATCCCTAGTTACCCTGATGAGACTTTTGCCTAGCTCCATAAGGGTCTCCGAGCCTATGAGTATTGGTATCAGCCAAGGTAGATGCACCTGTGTAGCCCCACACCACCTGCTTGCTGTTTGTCTAGGCTAGAAGGGTGATATCATCTGGACGCTTTTGGCTACCATCAGATCTGCATAGTTGGGGTGGCTCCCTTACTGCTGGGCATCCGGCTGTTATGAGGCTCCTCTTGATAATGTTATTAACCTCCTCATGTCTTGCACACAAGACCATGGTACCCGAATCGGGCTGCTGCTTCACTGCCACAAATACACCTGTGTTCGGCAAGAATAGGGGCGGCAAGTCGAATGGCAACACCGATGCGGATGGTCTGTAGGTCGGTGCGTGTGCCAAGGCTGGAGTTTGGAACAGTCAACAGAAAGTCCTCTGCATGAGGAACTCTCACTGCTAGGAGACGGGCTCTATCCTTCCTCGACACACTCTAGAGCATTTCTGAGGCTATATTCTCCACTACTGGGCCATCCCAGTGCAACTGTTTGTAGTTGTTGGGGAGAGCAGGTCTGGTTTCAGAGCCCGTTAGATTATCCCAGATCATGGCTCCGTCAATGAACTTTTGGTCCTGGACTCCAATCTTGTCCCTAATATGTTCAGGGAGAATTGCTGCTACAAGCCATCTTGCATGAGGACAGAAAAGCAGGTAACGCAATCTGTGATGACTTGCGGACACCAATGCCTCCTAGTCTGACTGGAAGTGTAGCTTGGTTCCGCTGCCCATCCGCACATAAGATATTGAAACTTTTGTCGAAGTATCGATCTGACTTGGACCATTAGAAGCCCTCCCCCTCCCCCGTGTATATATACTAGGCGAGTTTCGCCTCGTCTTCAAGAGTATTTTGCCGAATAAGGAGAATGATGATTCGTTGTTTACCAACAATCTGCGAAAATCACTCGAAAGACAACGAGCAAGATATGTGTGCATCATTAATTTTAAGTTACATTAGCTGAATTGAAATTAACAAGTGTTGTATATAGCAGAATATAGATAAAATTAACATGTGTTGTATATAGCAGAATATAGATAAAATTAACATGTGTTGTATATAGCAGAATATAGATAAAATTAACATGTGTTGTATATAGCAGAATATAGATAAAATTAACATGTGTTGTATATAGCAGAATATAGATAAAATTAACATGTGATGTATATAGCAGAACATAGATAAAATTAACAAGTGTTGTATATAGCAGAATATAGATAAAATTAACATGTGATGTATATAGCAGAATATAGATAAAATGTGATAGGTTACATTAGGTTAGGTCAGATTTGTAAGATAATTAAGGTTCAAATATAATTTTTTGAACATCATTGGTAATGAACAATATATCTATCTGTAAAATTTAGTTTCGGAAAAGTTTTTGATAGAGTTCGGTTTATACGACTCGACGTATATAAATATATTTAATTATGAACATTAAAATGGTATAAAATACCGACAGGTTGTTAGGTAAGACACATATGCAACAGTTAGGTATCTTTATTGTGAAACGTTTCGCCTACACAGTAGGCTTCTTCAGTCAAGTACAGGAAAGGTTGATAGAAGCAGAAGATACTTGAAGACGATGTAATCAGTCCATCACCCTTAAAGTTTTGAGGTGGTCAGTCCCTCAGTCTGGAGAAGAGCATTGTTCCATAGTATTGTTTCATACTATGGAACAATGCTCTTCTCCAGACTGAGGGACTGACCACCTCAAAACTTTAAGGGTGATGGACTGATTACATCGTCTTCAAGTATCTTCTGCTTCTATCAACCTTTCCTGTACTTGACTGAAGAAGCCTACTGTGTAGGCGAAACGTTTCACAATAAAGATACCTAACTGTTGCATATGTGTCTTACCTAACAACATATTTAATTATATTATATTATATCAACTATTGTGTCTGTGATACTGTTGATGGAATATTGATGAAAGGAGCTTCCCTCCCTCTCAGTGTATCAAACCTGATTACCACCCTTGATGAAGTTGGTGTATGACATACGGGTTTACAACATGTCGTGAAAACAATAGTAATAATTATAACAGCAAGAACAACAACATAATAATAATAGTAATAATAAAATATAAAAAATAATTATTAAATAACAATAACATTATTATTATTATTATTGCAATAATAATAATAATAATAAGCTTAATATTCGTGCATTACAGCTGATAGCTTTCCTGGTGGGAATCTGCTACACCAACGTCAAGCTGAACCAAGCTGGCATCCAGGATATTGAAGGTGTATTATTCATTTTTATAACGGAGAATACCTTCCCTTCCCTCTACGGTGTTCTTAATATCTTCCCGCAAGAGATGCCACTCTTCCTCAGGGAGTATAAGAACGGGATATACCGCGCAGATACTTATTATCTCTCTAAGATGATTGGTCTGGTGAGTAGATATTGATGATTATTGTAGCGCTTGTTTCTTGTGGAGGCTTTGTCAGAGGTGATAATGTTAGTGTTAGTTAAAGTAATGGTGGTACTGTTGCTTTATATCTATTTATATATCTGTTTATCTATCTATCTATCTATCTGTACCACCTCTAGAACTTATATATATAATATATATATATATATATATATATATATATATATATATAATATATATATATATATATATATATATATATTCCAAATGTGGCAAGGATTTATTCATGGGTAAATTATAACAATTACTTTAATAAAGCGTGTCACTGCATAATTTGTGTAAATCAGTATTAATGAAGTGTGTGAGGTCTGATCTATATATGAACCACTGAGGACTCTAACCAAATTAAAGTAACTGGCAAATCCATGAATATTCAAGCACCGGAAGCATCACTGAATGCTAGGAAAGGTCATGTAACTAGGGCATATAATAAGTCCTTGGAATTAATGAGTCAGGAAATAGTGAAGCGTGTTAATTTTCAATTGCATTTATATGCATTAGAAAGTAGATATAAATCATACAAATTAGTGTCTGAAGAACATGAAAAAAATCTGTTGGAGAATGGTGCAGATTATCAAGAAATAGAATTTTTAATCAATGAGACCTAGAAGAAAACATATTGTGGTGTAATAGTATTGTCTTAAATAGTAAGTGTAAACAATACAGTAAGTCAACCTTGTAATATAAATATATTGTCTGCCCAAACTCCCAGAATTGTGTTTACTACATTTAATCCAGGAGAAAGTTGGAAAGAATTCTGGTCTATATTTAAAGCAGCTGTACATAACAGGAATAATTCTGCATGTGTTACCAAGTTATTTTACCTTAAAGGAGAGGTAAGAGGTAATGCCACGTTTTACACAAAGTTTTCCTAATGTTGACAGTAGTTACACAGAGGCAGGTAATTTGTTGGAGGTCATTTGTGGTAATTTAGAGCAAAGTAGGTTGGACTTGTTAACTATTATAGTTAACTTAAAAACTCCAGATCACAATTATATAAATTTACAACAATTTAGAGTCAAACTGGAAGGCACTTTTAACACTTTAAGTAACAGATATGATCTGGATGGATCATATTGAACATTGAGTGCTTTTATACAGACTAAATTAACTAGTAAGACTGTAGAGTGGTTAGTTAATAAGTATCACAAAGGATATTTCTCATTGGAAGAAATAAGAGCAAGTATTCAAGAATTAATTGTCCAACTACAGATTAGTTAGACAAACAATTATAATGTAACAAATAATAACTCTGATGTATGTGTTAAGTTTCACAAAGGGAACAAATCCCCTAATGTTAATTATAATTCATCCCATGATAAAAATTATATCGTAACATATCAAGTGGCAGGAATCACGAATAAAGGTTCATCACAGTGGAATAAGTACTTAAATAAGGGTGGCCCAGTTAATAATGGGCAAGTGAAGAAAACGAGGCACTCATTCCTCGAGAAATTGTAATGTGTATGATTCCTGGAATGTTAAGGTGGATGAACTGCAATAACATAACAGATATATCAGATGTTTAGTCAATCATAACGTGAAAGATTGGTATGCTAAATTAAATATTTGTTATCAGTGTCACAAGGGAAGACACTGTATTGTAATTATTAAAGGTCTGTATAATGATAATGATAATGAAGGTACAGCCATTAATAATGTAAAATTAGAAACTAATGTAAATGATGGAATTACTGAACTAGCATTATCCACAGTGAATGTGAATATACAGGATAAAAGGCGTTAGTCAAAAAATATAATTGATTTGTTAGATCAAAGATCCCAACGTCCATTTAAAAAATGTAGTTACCTAAGAGGCAAGATAGTGCAAAACAAGGATCCTTCAGATTTGAAATTGTCTGGATTTTTAACAGATAAAAAGATCCAGGTATACGACACGGTATATATTAATGTCGGCCTGGACACTGACAGGAAACATTAATGCAGTCATCATGGACAGGCTGCCCGAGAAAATTTCTACAGCTGGGCTTCGTGAAGGTGCTAAACGACTTTCACAGAATGGAGTAGAATTCTCTGTAGATAATGACTCTGTGGGGCCAATAAATACTTTAATAGGGAGTGATTATTATGCCTCATTTGTAAAATGTATGGTGAGAAAATGTGGCGTCACTCTTCTAGCAGAAGGCCATGTAATATATGGTAAGTTCCGTTTTTCTGAAAAAATTTTGGGAGGCTTATGGGAAATTTAAAACACAGCTCCACGAACGAGTTAACCCAGAATTACTGACTGCATTTTATGGAAAAATTAATGAATTTAAAGAGTAAGGTAAAAAAGAGGTACCTCCTTAGCAGGAAAAAAAATTTATGGCCCTTACTTACTATCCAAAGGATTTAGAAAAGACTAAAAAACAGCTCCTAAAATCTTTTTTTTGCATTGATAAAAGTAAAAAATGAACAAAACCTAAATGACTGTTTAATTTAAATGTTCGTTTTGACGAAAATGAGGGGGTTCGCGGGTAAACAGACAGGGATTAAACCTTCCGTAGCCTAAAAATCCTAGAAACCCTTTTACCTCTGAAAAATTACACATATTTGGCTCTACTCCCCGTCCGTTTTTTACTTTAGGTGACTCTAAATGCTCATCACAAACTTCAGAAAGCCGTGAGGAATCAATGAAAAAAACAGTTTATGTGAAAAATTTTCCAAGGGGGTGACTTTAAAGATGAACTTAGAGGACAATGAGGAAGCAAGAGGAAATGATAATTAAAATTGCCTTTGAGGAAGGAATAGCAAACCGTCCAAATTTAAAGGACAAAATAAATAAGAATTTTTCCCCGGAGATGAAGTTACTAAGTAATAACACGGACAAAAACAAAAGTTTCCCAACCCCGCAGTAATTTTCAACTAATTTTTTGGTTACTGTAATGATGAATAGAGCTGTAAAATAACCTCTAGACTTCTGTTACTTATACTTCTTGAAACAAAGTCCTAGTAATCTGTTAGCCTAGTTGCGCACACCTAGGCACTGCTGTCTTGGCTTTAGATTTCTGATTTCCACGATTCTCAAGTTTTTCACATTCTGTTGACAAGTTCTGCTTTTACTAATTTTAAAACTTCGAGGGTTATTTCCATTTCCAGGGACTAGGACTTTACACTTGTCCACATTGAACTTCATCTTGGAGTTCACTAGTATCCTCCTCAGAATGAATCATATGGCCTATTTTTGCATCATCAGCAAATTTGCTCAGAGAGTAGTCGTCAACAGAGTAAAGTCCCAGGCAGCTACGGTGAAAAGCTCTGTTCCACAAGGCACAGTACTCGCTCCCATCTTGTTCCTCATCCTCATATCCGACATAGACAAGGATGTCAGCCACAGCACCGTGTCTTCCTTTGCAGATGACACCCGAATCTGCATGACAGTGTCTTTCATTGCAGACACTGCAAGGCTCCAGGCGGACATCAACCGAATCTTTCAGTGGGCTGCAGAAAACAATATGAAGTTCAACGATGAGAAATTTCAATTACTCAGATATGGTAAACACGAGGAAATTAAATCTTCATCAGAGTACAAAACAAATTCTGGCCACAAAATAGAGCGAAACACCAACGTCAAAGACCTGGGAGTGATCATGTCGGAGGATCTCACCTTCAAGGACCATAACATTGTATCAATCGCATCTGCTAGAAAAATGACAGGATGGATAATGAGAACCTTCAAAACTAGGGAGGCCAAGCCCATGATGACACTCTTCAGGTCACTTGTTCTATCTAGGCTGGAATATTGCTGCACACTAACAGCACCTTTCAAGGCAGGTGAAATTGTTGACCTAGAAAATGTACAGAGAACCTTCACGGCGCGCATAACGGAGATAAAACACCTCAATTACTGGGAGCGCTTGAGGTTCCTAAAACTGTATTCCCTGGAACGCAGGCGGAGAGATACATGATTATATACACCTGGAAAATCCTAGAGGGACTAGTACCGAACTTGCACACGAAAATCACTCACTACGAAAGCAAAAGACTTGGCAGACGATGCAACATCCCCCCAATGAAAAGCAGGGGTGTCACTAGCACGTTAAGAGACCATACAATAAGTGTCAGGGGCCCGAGACTGTTCAACTGCCTCCCAGCATACATAAGGGGGATTACCAACAGACCCCTGGCAGTCTTCAAGCTGGCACTGGACAAACACCTAAAGTCGGTTCCTGACCAGCCGGGCTGTGGCTCGTACGTTGGCTTGCGTGCAGCCAGCAGCAACAGCCTGGTTGATCAGGCTCTGATCCACCAGGAGACCTGGTCACAGACCGGGCCGCGGGGGCGTTGACCCCCGGAACTCTCTCCAAGTAAACTCCAGGTATGTCACTTATAATTCCGTCATCAAGGTCATTAATGTAAATTATAAACAACAATGGGCCTAAAAATTATCCTTGTGGAACGCCACTTGTAACCAGTTCCCACTCAGATCTGACTCCATTAATGGTAACTCTCTGCTTTCTATTGGTAAGCCATGCCTCTATCCACGCTAGAACTTTACCTCCTATACCATGAGCTGCCACTTTTCTTAAGAGTCTCTTGTGAGGTACTCTATCAAAGGCTTTACTAAAATCTAAATAAACAATATCATATTATTTATTACTGTCCACTGCCTCAAATGTTCTATTGAAGAACGTCAGCGAATTTGTCAGCCAGGAATGACCTCTCGTGAACCCATGCTGAGATTCATCAATCAAATTATGCTCTTCAAGGAGATTTCTAATAATATCAGCTGTAATTGATTCTAATAATTTGCCCACTATAGACGTATGGCCTATTGGACGGTAATTTGATGGAATGGACCTATCCCCTGATTTGAATATAGGAACCACATTAGCTATCTTCCACATCTCTGGCACAACACCAGTTAGGATGGACGCATAAACAAACACGTTAATTAATGGCTGACTAAGTTCCATCTTGCATTCTTTAAGTACCCTGGAAACAACTCGTCGGGTCCCAGGGACTTATTTTGTTTCAGTTTGTCTATCTGTTTGATAACCATGTCCCTCGTGACAGTAACATTAGTTAATTTGAATTCCTCAAGAATTGAATAATTGTTAATTTCTGGAATCTCATTTACGTCTATCTGCGTAAACACTGGCAAAAAATAATCGTGTGTGCGATGAATGGTTTGAAAAACCGACAAGTTGAAGATTGAGACACTTATGCAGCATATGGGAATCTATATTCAGGAAACGTTTCGCCACACAGTGGCTTCATCAGTCCAATACAAAGAGGAAGGCGTAAGGAGAGGAGGAGTATGAGGTAATCAGTCCCTCAGCCTGGAGTCGATTGATGGACTGAACACATCGACTCCAGGCTGAGGGACTGATTACCTCATACTCCTCCTCTCCTTACGCCTTCCTCTTTGTATTGGACTGATGAAGCCACTGTGTGGCGAAACGTTTCCTGAATAAAGATTCCCATATGCTGCATAAGTGTCTCAATCTTCAAAAAAATAATCATTAAATAGAGAACACATTTCTAGTTCGTTATCCGTCAGCTGTCCGTTCCCAGTTTTCAGAGGTCCTACTTTTTCCTTCACCTTCGTCCTATACACTTGAAAGAAACCCCTTTGGATTGGTCTTTCATTAGCAACTCTGATTTCATAATCACGTTTAGCCCTTCTAATCCACTTTTTTACTTCTCTTTTTAACTGAATATATTGGTCAGTAAGGTTCATCTCTCCCCTTTTGATGCTCCTGTAAATTCCTCTTTTATCTCCTAATACATACTTTAGCCTCCTGTGGATGACGGGCATAAACAAAGGTGATATTAATAAATTACTGAGGGTGTCGAACCAGGTAAGAACCAGAAATAACGGATTTAAATTGGATAAATTTAGATTGAGAAAGGACATAGGTAAGTACTGGTTTTTGAACAGAGTTGTGAATGCGTGGAACAATCATCTGAGTAGGGTGATCGAGGCTAGGACCTTGGGAAGCTTAAAAAAGAGACTGGACGAATATATGAGTGGGAGGGGCTGGGTGTGATTGGTGTCGTGGGTACGGGAGTAAATTCATGGGTACCTGGAGTTTACCTGGAGAGGGTTTCGAGGGTCAACGCCCCCGCGGCTCGGTCTGAGACTAGGCCTCATGGTGGATCAGAGTCTGATCAACCAGGCTGTTACTGCTGGCCGCACGCAAGCTGACGTATGAACCACAGCCCGGTTGGTCAGGTACTGACTTTAGGTGCCTGTCCAGTGCCTTCTTAAAGACATCCAGGGGTCTATTGGTAATCCCCCTTATGTATGCTGGGAGGCAATTGAGCAGTCTTGGAGCCCGGACACTTATTGTATTGTCTCTCAGTGTACTCGTGGCGCCAGCGCTTTTCATCGGGGGAATGTTGCATCTCATGCAGAGTCTTTTGCTTTCATAGGGAGTCATTCTCGTGTGCAAGTTTGGTACCAATCCCTCCAGGACCTTCCAAGTGTATATTATCGTGCATCTCTCTCGCCTGCGTTCCAAGGAATACAGATTAAGGACCTTCAACCGTTCCAAGTAATTTAGGTGCCTTATCGTACTTATGTGTGCCGTGAAAGTTCTTTGTGCATTCTCCAGATCTGCAATGTCGCCAGCCTTGAAGAGGGTAGCTTTGGGTATTGGTAGTTGTTAAAAGGACCTGCCTTATATGGGCCAGTAGACCTTCTGCAGTGTTCCTTCATTCTTATACTCTTATGTTCTTTTCTACAATTAAAACAATTCACCATTTTAAAATCATGCATCCTTCAGATCCCAGGCTTCGTGGTTGATCCTGTAGTATTCTGCCTCATATGCTACTGGATGGTAGGCCTACAGCGCCATGCCTACCACTTCTTCATGACCATCTTAGTCACCATCTTCACAGCCAACACTGCTTCAGCCTGTGGTAAGATACCTGATATAATATCTGACAAATTTTAGCTTATTTGTCAGCAATAAAATGTAGTCAATCTAAATTACAACGGCTTCTTTTTTGTTATAATTTACAGTCACCAGAAATCATTGTTGATGTAACGATGTTAAAATATATTCAGACGAAACGCCAATATCTGTTAATTATCTGAAGATATTTAACAAAGATATTTGTCGTTTCTGTGACGTTAACTGAAGAATATTACTACTACTGTTACCATCACTACTATTGTTGTTGTTGTTGCTGCTGCTGCTACTGTTTTCACTATTACTGCTACTACGATTACCACCACTACTGCTACTATTACTACTAAAACTACTGATACTGCTATTGTTATTAGTACTATTAATACTATTACTACTACTACTACCACCACTACTCCTATTATTGTCATTGCTATAATAGTTTCTACTGTTACTACTTCTATTAATATTACTACTATTAGTAGTACTACTACATTTACCATTACTTTTAATAATAATAATAATAAATAATAATAATATTAATAATAACAATAATAATAATAATAATAATAATAAAAGAGAGTGCAAAAATTATAGGGGGATACCTGGTAAAGTGTATGGTAGAGTTATTATTGAAAGAATTAAGAGTAAGACGGAGAATAGGATAGCAGATGAACAAGGAGGCTTTAGTAAAGGTAGGGGGTGTGTGGACCAGGTGTTTACAGTGAAACATATAAGTGAACAGTATTTAGATAAGGCTAAAGAGGTCTTTGTGGCATTTATGGATTTGGAAAAGGCGTATGACAGGGTGGATAGGGGGGCAATGTGGCAGATGTTGCAGGTGTATGGTGTAGGAGGTAGGTTACTGAAAGCAGTGAAGAGTTTTTACGAGGATAGTGAGGCTCAAGTTAGAGTATGTAGGAAAGAGGGAAATTTTTTCCCAGTAAAAGTAGGCCTTAGACAAGGATGTGTGATGTCACCGTGGTTGTTTAATATATTTATAGATGGAGTTGTAAGAGAAGTAAATGCGAGGGTCTTGGCAAGAGGCGTGGAGTTAAAAGATAAAGAATCACACACAAAGTGGGAGTTGTCACAGCTGCTCTTTGCTGATGACACTGTGCTCTTGGGAGATTCTGAAGAGAAGTTGCAGAGATTGGTGGATGAATTCGGTAGGGTGTGCAAAAGAAGAAAATTAAAGGTGAATACAGGAAAGAGTAAGGTTATGAGGATAACAAAAAGATTAGGTGATGAAAGATTGAATATCAGATTGGAGGGAGAGAGTATGGAGGAGGTGAACGTATTCAGATATTTGGGAGTGGACGTGTCAGCGGATGGGTCTATGAAAGATGAGGTGAATCATAGAATTGATGAGGGAAAAAGAGTGAGTGGTGCACTTAGGAGTCTGTGGAGACAAAGAACTTTGTCCTTGGAGGCAAAGAGGGGAATGTATGAGAGTATAGTTTTACCAACGCTCTTATATGGGTGTGAAGCATGGGTGATGAATGTTGCAGCGAGGATAAGGCTGGAGGCAGTGGAGATGTCATGTCTGAGGGCAATGTGTGGTGTGAATATAATGCAGAGAATTCGTAGTTTGGAAGTTAGGAGGAGGTGCGGGATTACCAAAACTGTTGTCCACAGGGCTGAGGAAGGGTTGTTGAGGTGGTTCGGACATGTAGAGAGAATGGAGCGAAACAAAATGACTTCAAGAGTGTATCAGTCTGTAGTGGAAAGAAGGCGGGGTAGGGGTCGGCCTAGGAAAGGTTGGAGGGAGGGGGTAAAGGAGGTTTTGTGTGCGAGGGGCTTGGACTTCCAGCAGGCATGCGTGAGCGTGTTTGATAGGAGTGAATGGAGACAAATGGTTTTTAATACATGACGTGCTGTTGGAGTGTGAGCAAAGTAACATTTATGAAGGGGTTCAGGGAAACCGGCAGGCCGGACTTGAGTCCTAGAGATGGGAAGTACAGTGCCTGCACTCTGAAGGAGGGGTGTTAATGTTGGAGTTTAAAAACTGTAGTGTAAAGCACCCTTCTGGCAAGACAGTGATGGAGTGAATGATGGTGAAAGTTTTTCTTTTTCGGGCCACCCTGCCTTGGTGGGAATCGGCCAGTGTGATAATAAAAAAATAATAATAAATAATAATAATAATAATAATAATAATCATATGGAGAAAAAGAGAGAGGTTAAGATAGTGGTGAAGCAATGTAAAAAGAGAGCAAATGAGAGAGTGGGTGAGATGTTATCAACAAATTTTGTTGAAAATAAGAAAAAGTTTTGGAGTGAGATTAACAAGATAAGAAAGCCTAGAGAACAAATAGATTTGTCAGTTAAAAATAGGAGAGGAGAGTTATTAAATGGAGAGTTAGAGGTATTGGGAAGATGGAGGGAATATTTTGAGGAAATGTTAAATGTTGATGAAGATAGGGAAGCTGTGATTTCGTGTATAGGGCAAGGAGGAATAACATCTTGTAGGAGTGAGGAAGAGCCAGTTGTGAGTGTGGAGGAAGTTCGTGAGGCAGTAGGTAAAATGAAAGGGGGTAAGGCAGCCGGGATGATGGGATAAAGATAGAAATGTTAAAAGCAGGTGGGGATATAGTTTTGGAGTGGTTGGTGCAATTATTTAAAAAATGTATGGAAGAGGGTAAGGTACCTAGGGATTGGCAGAGAGCATGCATAGTTCCTTTGTATAAAGGCAAAGGGGACAAAAGAGGTGCAAAAATTATAGGGGGATAAGTCTGTTGAGTATACCTGGTAAAGTGTATGGTAGAGTTATTATTGAAAGAATTAAGAGTAAGACGGAGAATAGGATAGCAGATGAACAAGGAGGCTTTAGGAAAGGTAGGGGGTGTGTGGACCAGGTGTTTACAGTGAAACATATAAGTGAACAGTATTTAGATAAGGCTAAAGAGGTTTTTGTGGCATTTATGGATTTGGAAAAGGCGTATGACAGGGTGGATAGGGGGGCAATGTGGCAGATGTTGCAAGTGTATGGTGTAGGAGGTAGGTTACTGAAAGCAGTGAAGAGTTTTTGCGAGGATAGTGAGGCTCAAGTTAGAGTATGTAGGAAAGAGGGAAATTATTTCCCAGTAAAAGTAGGCCTTAGACAAGGATGTGTGATGTCACCGTGGTTGTTTAATATATTTATAGATGGGGTTGTAAGAGAAGTAAATGCGAGGGTCTTGGCAAGAGGCGTGGGGTTAAAAGATAAAGAATCACACATAAAGTGGGAGTTGTCACAGTTGCTCTTTGCTGATGACACTGTGCTCTTGGGAGATTCTGAAGAGAAGTTGCAGAGGTTGGTGGATGAATTTGGTAGGGTGTGCAAAAGAAGAAAATTAAAAGTGAATACAGGAAAGAGTAAGGTTATGAGGATAACAAAAAGATTAGGTGATGAAAGATTGGATATCAGATTGGAGGGAGAGAGTATGGAGGAGGTGAATGTATTCAGATATTTGGGAGTGGACGTGTCAGCGGATGGGTCTATGAAAGATGAGGTGAATCATAGAATTGATGAGGGGGAAAAGGGTGATCGGTGCACTTAGGAGTCTGTGGAGACAAAGAACTTTGTCCTTGGAGGCAAAGAGGGGAATGTATGAGAGTATAGTTTTACCAACGCTCTTATATGGGTGTGAAGCATGGGTGATGAATGTTGCAGTGAGGAGAAGGCTGGAGGCAGTGGAGATGTCATGTCTGAGGGCAATGTGTGGTGTGAATATAATGCAGAGAATTCGTAGTTTGGAAGTTATGAGGAGGTTGGGGATTGCCAAAACTGTTGTCCAGAGGGCTGAGGAAGGGTTGTTGAGGTGGTTCGGACATGTAGAGAGAATGGAGCGAAACAGAATGACTTCAAGAGTGTATCAATCTGTAGTGGAAGGAAGGCAGGGGAGCGGTCGGCCTAAGAAAGGTTGGAGGGAGGGGTAAAGGAGGTTTTGTGTGCGAGGGGCTTGGATTTCCAGCAGGCATGCGTGAGCGTGTTTGATAGGAGTGAATGGAGACAAATGGTTTTTAATACTTGACGTGCTGTTGGAGTGTGAGCAAAGTAACATTTATGAAGGGATTCAGGGAAACCGGCAGGCCGGACTTGAGTCCTGGAGATGGGAAGTACAGTGCCTGCACTCTGAAGGAGGGGTGTTAATGTTGGAGTTTAAAAACTGTAGTGTAAAGCACCCTTCTGGCAAGACAGTGATGGAGTGAATGATGGTGAAAGTTTTTCTTTTTCGGGCCACCCTGCCTTGGTGGGAATCGGCCAGTGTGATAATAATAAAATAAGATAATAATAATAATAATAATACTAATAATAATAATAATAATAATAATAATAATAATAATAATAATAATAATAATACAATACTACTAGTAGTAATTTCACCATTCTGCAGCTATTGCTATTGCTACTACTATTGCTGCTACTACTGCAATACTATTAATACTACAACTATTACCACTACTCTATTACTGATGCTGCTATAACTTTTACTACTGCTAATGCTACTGCATTGTTACCGCTATTACTGCTACTGTTACAACTACTATTGGTGCTGCTGGTGCTCCTCCTGCTACTGATACTAATGGTATTGCTATTGTTATTACTATTACTGTTACCGCCACTACTTCTGATACATATATTGCTATTATTACCACTACTACTAATACTACCACTGCTGCTACTTCTACTACTACTGGCACTGTTATTACTACTATTATTTCCACTACTACTAATACTACCACTGCTGCTACTTCTACTACTACTAGTACTGCTATTACTACTTCTACAACTATTAATGTTACAATTACCAGAAATATTGCTGTTACTAGACTACAACCACTGTTACTACTGCTACTACTAAACCTGCTACTAATACTATTAATACTACTAATGTTACCACTACTCCTGCCATTACTTCATCTAGTGGCAGGAACTGAGTCTTGTTTCAGTGATCCTACTCTTAAAGCAGCTAGTGCAAAGGGCACAGCGAATAGCGGACTGTTAGGGCACTGTGTATAGCGCAGTGT